GCAAGAACACATAAACAGATTTATACGCTATTTTGTTTAAAAATTAAACGTATTTGTTGTTCAAATCCATATATAGGGAGGCAGTTCAATTTCTGGAGTAGTCTAGTAAGTAAAATATATGCCAAATTATTCAAAGGTTTATGAGAGGAAGGAAACAGAATGAGGAATTCGCTACATTAAAATTCATGACAGCGTCCAAACCAACAGGCCATGAAGAGTAAACGAGTTTTGGGGTAAACAGAAAGTTAATGTATTGTCACATCAACGATATTCGCCAGATCTTTCAATATTTGACTTGTTTCATTTCCCACACTAAGGAAAACACCTTTTAGAAAGAAAAAAAGTGCAGCAAATCATAGGATCTGCCATTTTCCAGTATACCAAGGGTCATACTCAAATATATTTTCGAAAAACAATTAGAAATTGAATAAAAAAGTTACGGACATGTGTTTTAATTAAAAGAGAACATTTTAGTTAAATCATTAAGACAAAATCATAGAAAAGCGTTTTTTTGGTTTTTTCCGAGCCCAGATGACATTATTTATTGAACGCCCCTCGTGTAATAGATTGCTTATTAAAAAAAATTATGTAAGCTCGGCTGCTGCTATGAAAATTTTTGGAAAACCCCCCAACTAGTTGATGTTTGTATTTATAAGGCTGTCTGATAATAAAAGCATTCTTCCTTTTAATATATTACTTGTATACACTTGTAATGAGAAAAGAACAATGCAGCAGACCAGACCTTTTGAACCTAGGCTCCCTGAATCTCTTCATACTCTCCGACTGAGCTATCTGACCACCAGTGATTGATCCTGGCTGACTGCCACACACTTTTTGATATACATCAATCAATTTGGAAGTTTACTGTTCTTTTTTATTTTGTGTAAACTTTTTTATTTGAAGATGAAGTAAGTATCAATTCTTGTTTTTAAATTCCTAGGAATCAGAAGAAGAATATTTTTAACAGAAAATGAGAAGATAATAGATGCACCAAGGAAACCGTTCAATACAGCAAATCCAGTAGTCTAGTTCATACTGATCAGTGCAATGTTTTACATTAGTCTCCTTCCTTCCCATTGGTTGATCTTGTTAACCTTTTTCCCCTTGGTTAATCTGTCTTCCAATTAAATGTCTGTGATTGATAAAACTGCGGAATTTACATGACTTCAAAGTGCCCTTTCTGTTTTCTATGTCTTTTTGTTTGTATGCATGTGAGTGGCAATATGTGTGTTAAAATGGACATTTTTTTTACCCCTAACACATGCCGTGTAACTTCATGTAGTTAAAAGTTAAATCCCAATAGATGATTTTATTCAGTGATCTACAAATAAAAAGATATTAAATTTTTAAAAGTAACTTATTTAAATGGATGTACATGTACAGGTCAAACCAATTTTTATGAAATGCCCATCACTGTAGACTTTTAGATTGATATTGGATTTACTTGTTTACATAATTTCACCAGAATTACAGTTTAAAAACAATACAAATGTCATGTGATTCTATATACACGTACACATTGCTAAAAATCCTGTATATGTTCAAATGGCAGTATTGCATAATCCCATTTTTGATTATATAAATGAATAGAGAGAGAGAGAGAGAGAGAGAGAGAAAAAAAAAATTTTTTAAATTTTCCTGTTTGTTGCTCATTATGTGAAAACTTCATTACTCAATTATATGAGTTACATGTAATAGTGTGATGAAATCTTATATTAGCCTTTCATGCTCACTAAAAATTCACGGGTCTCAATTTTTCTATTGTTTGTTTTTTTTAGTCTCTGGTCAGGGCCAGAAGGCTTATGCGATATAATTTTCCCGGGGTCCTCCGTCTGTCCGTCGTAAAAAATTTTTCAAAACGCTCTCCTCCTACAGTTTTGGTCTATTTCAACACAACTTTGGGACAAATAGCTCACTAAAATACATAATTCTGTGTATCGGTTTTTATTTTAATGAACATTTTTTTGTTACTAAAAATAGAAATTTCTGTGAAAAACTTTTAAAATGCTACTCCTCGTACAGTTTTGGTCCATTTTAAAACAACTTGGCACTTAAATGACCACACTGATACATAATTCTGTGTATCGATTTTTGATTTTGATGAACGATGTTTCCGTTGTTACTAAAAAAAAAAAAATTTTTGTGAAATACTTTTAAAATGCTACTTCTCCTACAGTTTTGGGTTTATTTCATTATACTTTGGCACACAAGTAGACTACACTAAATATATAATTCTGTATACCGATTTTTGATTTCAATGAACGGTGTTGTTTTTTCTAAATAAAATTTTTTTGAAATACTTTTAAAACTACTCCTCCTACAATTTTGGTCCGATTTCAACACAACTTGGCACACAAGTAGACTACACTAAGATACATAATTCTGTGTATGGTTTTTGATTTTCGATGAATGGTGTTGCCGTTGTTACTAAAAATAGAAATTTCAATTAAATGCTTTCAAAATGCTACTCCTCCTACAGTTTTGGTCTATTTTAGTATAACTTGGCACACAAGTAAACTACAATAAGATACATAATTCTGTGTATCGGTTTTTTGATTTAATAAAAGTGTTGCTGTTGTTACTAAAAATAGAAATTTCTTTGAAATACTTTAAAATGCTACTTTTCTTTTCCTCTGTTATAAGTAAAACCAGTAGAGCTACAGTCTGGACAGAGACTTTTTTTTTTATACATAGTCCTGAGTTATGCATGTTTACATGTAATCATTTAACTACATGTAAGTGATTTATAAATTAATGATATCCCATTTATTTGAAAGTTAAGATGGAATTATTATTTTAAACTTTTAAAAGAAACTTACCCTTTCACCAGCATTTTGTGCTCTGTATTTTTCAGATAAACTTCAAAAAATATTTTATAAATAAAAAAAATGTTGTTTGATAAAATCTTTTTGATGTCACATCTTCATAGTGTAAAGAATGTATTTTGTCCATTGATTTTCATGAATTGGCTAATATTTTTATTAACTATTATGATTATCTTAATCACATAGTTATCTTAACTGTTACATTTATGGTGAACATTAAAAATACTGACACCTACTATACCCCCACTAACCCCCCCCCCCCCCCCAAAACAAAAGGGGGTTTAAGATTTCTTTAATTTTCAGGTAAATATTGAAAGTTTATATACAATGTATAACATTGAGTGATTATCATTAGCTTTTTATGCCATGTGTTTTTTTTCTTAGTGTTTGTATTTTTTGTATTTTATTTAAGTTATAGATATGAAGATTAAATATATGAATTATATTTAAACATATTATTGGTTTATTTCAAATAAATCCGAATGTCAAAGCGGGCCAGGAAGTTTGAATAATGATGTAATGCCTTTGGGGAAACAAATTCATTATTTGATTATCACCATATATAATAATATTTTGTCAATTGTATAAATATATATTTACATTAGCTCTGTCTTTCTACTATGCCAACTGTGAAATTGATTTGAATACAACCATTTTTGTGTATATAAGCACGGGTAAAATAAAAAGATAATAACGCGATAACGTGACGTCACATTGAGGCTACAGCGACGTAAGTAAAAATGCAACGATTAAGGGCAGCGAGAAATTGAAATTTGACAAAGTATTTTTTGGTGCTTTAAAAGATGTAAAATGTAAATATAAAGAATTTTTTAGGGTTAGTATGAAGTATTGGTGTGTATATCACAGACTTGCACAGCTACAGCGAAAAATTCAAATATTGAGTAAATTTTAGAGCTTTCAGACATGTAAAATGAAAGGGCCCAAAAAAAAAGTAATCAATAGTTTTTTAGGCCAAAAAATTGGAATTCAATAAAACGGGCGGGCTTTTTTTTTTTTTTTTTGGGGTTTAAATCCTTTTTAAGCCATTTGTTCAATAAAATGATAATATCTACCAGTTCTTAATTTTTGTTCTCTGAAATTTTTTAATGTATTCAACTTTAAATAATGTTACTCCAAACATTTATTTAAAAGTTAAATAATAAAAAAAAATGAAAATGTAGAAGAAATGTATTGTTTTTCTAATAAAAACCCACTACTAGTATCTTAGCATTTATGAAAAGGGGAATAACTCAATTTTCTTTTTAACTTAGAAGAATAAAAAATTGTTCAACTTCCGCAACGTACTTAGTAGATTTATGATAAACGTAATTGATAACATTAATTTTTTTTCAACTTCCCTCACTCATGTAGCATTACATCCATATATGGGGGTTAACATCTCTCACTTGATTCAATATGCAAGAGTGTGCCCTAGTTACGATAAATTAATAAAACGAAATAAGTTATTGACAAACAAAGTGATGAAACAAGAATATCAAGTCTCATTTAAAGTAATTTTTGCAAATTCTATGGTCGAAACAATGATCTTGTCAGGAAATGGAATTTATAAATCAGTCAAATGCCAGTAGAGGTTTTTCATACCAATTTTAGGCCATTATTTACACATTGATAAGTCTACGGATATTTCCTTTTTTCCCAAATATGATGAGGAGAACACGGCAGGTATGATCGGTCGGCAGGGAATGCTCACCTCTCCATGGAACCTGGTCCCACCTCTATGATTTTAGAGGTCCATGTTTGCTCTGCTCCTGATTTGTATCGTTTAAGTGGATTTTTTAGCTTGAATACTAACCCTTGTCACCGTATGTTCAATTCGACAACACCAAAAATATATTCTGCTGGTATAAATTTATTAATTACGCCGAATTAGCTATATTTACTGACAATTAAAAGACTGAACATGAGAAGTTGACTGCTGAGTACTGTAAAATCACAGTCGTGTTTTCGTGGGGTCAAATTTTCAAGGTTTGAGAAAGAAATATTGGTTGGCGGGGATTTAATTTCGAGGTTGGGGGAAGTGTGCAGTAATAATGCATATGAAATTATACATTTCCATATCTCAAACACAACAAAAATCAAACTCCATCGAAAATAAGTGATTTCACAGTATTAGATAGATAACTGATTGCTTAGACAAGTTATACTTACTGGCTGCAATAGCGATAGGACAAGAGGCGGGATCGCAGGTATATGTAAACGTCAGACCATCCGTGTCGGTCACTGAAACTGTGTCAAGGACGACGTTATTGGATGTCGTCTGCTGATCTTTCTCAATGTGTCCTAAATTCATAACAATTCATACGTCGTAAACATGCATTTTATATAAAGATGCAGATCATTTCTTGGCATATTTCTTCATGACAAAAAAGAAAAATTATTGTATATACAGCCTTGTATTCTACTTGCAAAGAAGTCTCCTAGCCTATAATTCGAGTTTAGGTAACTAGTATATCAAACTTACATTAAAAAATATTGATGACGTATAATATGAAAGTTTATTCATTTGATGTTTTGATAATTTCTACAAAATTAGCACAAAGTGTGGCACACTGAAGAAAAACATTGATGACAAACTGGTGACAGTGATAGACGTTTATGAATTAAAATTTAACATTATCACCTGCATATTGAGTACAGATCTCCCAGTTGATTCGATACACAAGAGGTAGGAACATTTTAAGATAAGTAAAATGTAATATATTTACAAGTAAGTTGATATTAAAAAATATCAACATTCTCGTTTAAAGTCTGCAAAATTTATGCAATGAGTTATTTTTCGTCAGCAAATAAAGTATTTGTTTGATTGGAAAATTGACTGCCCTTTTCATACAAATTGTTAGAACATAATTGTCTTCGGGATTATGACAAGGAGCACATGATTGGTGTGAAAGGTGGATGGGGGATACTTACTCCTTCATGGCACCTGATCACACTTGTGATACTTTTAGAGGCCCCAATATTTGCATTGCTTCCAAAGTTTATTGTTTCGATCTACTCTTGAACTTGTTATTATCATTTATTTTTTGTAAAAGAGGAACAATTCCTAAACCAAGAAATACTTCGGAGTAATAATTTGATATAAAAGGGGTTATCAATAATTTCAATTTAAAAAACTTTTTGCAATTCTATTGCCCATATAAATGAACTTATTTGCACTTACATTGTGAAAGTGGATGGAATGTTTTCCAGAGGTCTCAATGATAAACTGTTTGATTTAATATTCGAATTAAATGAAAATCATAGATTATTCAGATAAAGGGCTCAGTGCGTGTGTGAACGGTCGAAATCACGCAGGGGATGCTATACTTCTTCAGAGATTTGATTAAAATGTTAAATGTAAGTAACATATGACTGTTAAAACAAGCCATTCAATCACGCAATGCTGGCGACTTCAAAGGTCATGTAACTATTCTCTGCTCTCACATTGCACTGTTTACTACAGTAAGATCAATTTTCAAACCGAGACAGTTTACCCAGAAATATGTTGAAGAAACAATGATTTCAACAACTTCCTTTAAAGTCAGCATTTCGTAAATTTTATTTTATAAACAATACAATCTCTAAGGGGGTTGTATTTAAACTGACATTTTAAATTCTTAATTCATTTCTTATTCCTTCTACTCATCCCATTGACATTTTAAATTCTTAATTCATTTCTTACTCCTTCTGATCAAATCTCTGCAATTCCCAGGGCTCCGCGTACTATACCCTTTCCACAAATTCTATTGTTCTGTGGATTTTCAGATCGATCCCGATCATTGAGTACGACTATACAGTTCATTATCACATGCGAATCTTTAATGCTAGCTGAATTACAAGGCCCATAGGCAAAGTCAGATAGCTTTACCAAAAAAGGATAAATTTTCACCGAACTGAACTCAAAGAAAATTTTTCAAAACATTTTCATTAAATTCATTTTCTTGATGAAAATTTCAAACTTCTTATAGTTTGATAAATATTGTGATTTGACTTGGTAATGCTCCATACCTTCTCAATCAAAAACATAGTTCTGAAATTGTGCGTTACTTACAAAATATGAAACAAACATTTTTAAAGAATGAATTATTATGATATTATTCAATACATAAGAAATGCTAGTATATGGATAAAGATACAATGTTTAATTTTACTTGGTAGATTGGTGAAGACAGGAAATGCATTCTTCTCTATGATAACAATCAGCTGTTCCTCGTCATAATTCTTGGTATCGGTACATCTTACGTTAACGTCAAAACGTTTTGTTGTGTCAAAATCAAACGAAGGATTGGCGTTAATGTAGACGCCATATGCTGTAAAATAAAACTTATAATTAGTAGGAAAGGAAGAAAGAATTAGATTTTTTGTCCATTGTGGAAAAAAGCAAAAGTGCACATAAAATTTGAAGTACACGTCAACATGTATCATTGCTGTTTCCTTCCAAAGAAACATCCGGAGCAGTCCTCTTTTCTTAACATATGCTGATATGAATATATACAGTTCTAAAGATGTTAAATTTAATGAAGATTATAATGAAAGGAAAATAATTCGCTGTCAGAATAAATGTCGATATAGCAAATAAAACAGTTCAGAGTGGCTCTAAAAATGAAATCGTGACATGAGCAATACATAGGGCTCACAGCAGTTTTGATCGGTCCACAGGTATGCCTTCCCACCTTTAAACACCCGATCTCAGTCTCTCAATCTGGTGTATACATGGGACAAAGTTTGTTTGATGCATCTTGTCATCAGTATCACACTCGACATAATATGATAACACAAATATAATTTTATAACACAGTTTTAATATTCAGCTATTTTATAACACAAATTCATTATTATTATTTAAGTTAACATAAAATCAGTATTTGATATTACAGGCATTTTAATTATTTCACAGATCTTACTTCCGCTTCCTGCTGTGATTTCTTTGGTCGTGAAGGGGCCTCCTGAAGGGGACGTACTGGACACCGTACAAGAGATGGTGTCCCCATCTGTTACCCCCAGGGTGTGGATAAGAGTGGAGGACGTATGTGTTTCTGCTACTTCGTATGAGGTTGGTAGGGTGGTTATAACTGGAATCTGAAATCAGCAGTCGGGCATTATTTATAAGCATTTTTTTTATCAACAGGGGATTTTTACTCCTCCTTAGCACCTGATCCCACCTATATGGAATTTCAGGGGTCCCTGTTTATATCCTGTTCACACATTTGTATTGTTTAGAGAATTTTGTTCAACAGTTCAACTCGTTATCTTTGCCTTTTTTAATTACATACTAGTATGTCGTTTGTATTTAAAATTTTCGACATAAAAAGAAGTCTCTTGCTTTGGTCTTCAATTCCACTTTTACATAATTGTATACAGATGACTTCTAATCAATCAATAATAATCATGTTTAGTCACACTTGTAATTCAAAATATCCCATTGAAATTGAAATGAAAGACATCTAAGAGTCCGCCACATCAGTTTAATATTGAGATCCTGTTACTTCTAGAGAAAGACTAACAATTCTATAGGTGTGATGCCTTCAACTTTTCTTGCATCAACTTCCCTTACACTATTATTACATCGTGATACACATGGTGTTAATGTACGAACAATTTCGTACTGTATTATTAATGAAATCATGACTTCAAAAGAAATTGCTAATACCGGGTATCCTTGTACCTTCAACGTTCTCTCCAGAAGCCTATGTGTTGTGAGATGTGTATTGTTTCATTATGTATATAATTAGTAACATTAAGTTTCTTGAACACTCCAGAGTGGTCAACATGTTTGGTCATTTTATCTAGAACATTCTTAAATTTTGTATATGTCCAGATTGTTCCAGTAATATCATGTTTTAACAATTTCTAGAATATTCTAGATTTATAATACTATATAAATACCCTGTCAATTCAATGCATAGATATACAATAATTGTGGATACTTTTTCGTATAAGCATTATTGAGATATAACTGGGATATATATTTTCACTGAGACATTGTGTGCAGAAACGGACACTCTGATGTATGTATTTTTAGATTCTTGCTAAGTTTGTACTTTATGTTTCATATACTTATTATATATTATTGTAAATAAATTATTGTTAAGTTTAAATTGTGTTATTGATCTTTGCTGGCATTTAGGGTAATTCTGAACCCATAACAGAATTGGGGGCTCGTCCGGGATAAAGAATTTTTTTCTTGCACTTTTGCAGTTTATTGTCAGAATTTTGTTTATTGAACCGTTAAATTTGATTATAAGCCAGCAGAAATCAACATGGTGTTTTCGGTCACAGACTTTCTTAGTTCACCAAGTGTTCAGGTTTTTGATACGTTAAAAAAGGATGACTTGATCGCATTAGGTTTGCATTTTGGGTTAGATGTTAAATCCTCTCAGAGAAAGCAAGACATTAGAATTAAGGTTGCAAACAAACTAGTAGAAGAAAACGTCTTTGAAAAATACGATCTTCCAGAATATACAGTTAAATCAGAGTTAGGCTCTTATAAAATGGCAGAATATCAGTTTCAAGTAGAGTTAGAGAAAATGCGATTTGAAAGAGAAAAATTAGAAAGAGAAGAACGAGAACGTGAGCGAAAATTTGAATTAGACAAATTAGAAAGAGAAAGAGAAGAGCGAGAAAGAGAAAGACAAGAGCGAGAAAGAGAGCGTGAAATGAACTTTGAATTAGAGAAATTAAAATTACAGAACCAACCAGAACCGTCAGTTGTCAAAACTGAATTTGACGCAGCAAAAAATATCAGATTAGTTCCAAAATTTCAAGAAAAATCTGTAGACAAATATTTTCCCCAATTCGAAAAGGTCGCAGAGAATCTTAAATGGCCACGAAATGTTTGGTCAACGATGTTACAAAGTGTACTTGTTGGAAAAGCGGCTGAGGTATACTCTGCACTAGGGGTAGCTGAGAGTTCAGACTATGAGAAGGTCAAAGCAGCAATATTAAAAGCCTATGAATTAGTACCTGAAGCGTATAGACAAAAGTTCAGAAAGTATAGAAAGTTTGATAATCAAACATTTGTTGAATTTTCACGAGAGAAAGAAGATTTATTCGATCATTGGTTTAGATCTAAGAAACTTGATAAAAATTTTGCTAATTTGCGCCAAGTCATCCTGGTAGAAGAGTTTAAGGAATGTGTTCCTCAAGATTTGAAAACACATTTAGAAGATAAGAATGTGAAAACTATTGAAGAGGCAGCAGTCATATCTGATACTTACGCTCTGTCTCATAAAAAGAATTTTGTATCAAGATCTCAGACTAGCAGTAATTCTACCAATTCAGACACATATAAAAAGAGTGGTTCAGGGTCTCAGTCTTTCACAAAATCCCAGTCTCCATCCCAAGGTGGTTCTAAGTCCGGTCCAGGACGTTTTGAAGGATCTTCTGGAATAGGGTCGCTTCCTACTTGTAGTTATTGTAAGAAAAAAGGTCATCTGATCAGTGAATGCTTTAAACTTAAGAGAAAAAATGATTTTGATAAAACTCAACCACACGCTTGTGCGGCAGTTAGAGGTGATAGAGAAGCTTTAGTTTCGATTTGTTCTGACACTCCTGATGTCCAGGGTTCACAGTCCAGTTCTATTGATTCTATGGAGGATTATAAACCCTTTATGTCTCAGGGATTTGTTTCACTCGGTGACTCTAGCGAAATAAAACCTGTCCAGATTTTGAGAGATACTGGTGCTGCACAGACGTTATTGTTAGAGGGCGTGCTTCCTTTGTCTGAGCAGACTTCTACTGGTGGGTCAGTTTTATTACAGGGTGTGGAGCTAGGCGTCATTGATGTTCCCCTGCATAGAATTAGTTTGAAGTCAGATTTAGTTACTGGACCTGTTATCGTAGGTGTTCGACCTACTCTTCCCGTTCCAGGCATTTCTTTGTTGTTAGGCAACGATCTAGCTGGTGGAAAAGTTGTACCAGATCCTATAGTTTGTGAGAAGATCACTCCAGATGTCATGTATAATGATGAAGATGATGACATTTATCCAGCCTGTGCTGTTACTAGAGCGATGGCCAGAAGACGAGAAATGGAGGCAGACCATACTCAAGCCTTTGACGAGACGAATTCCTCTGTTGATATTGATTTGAATGACATTTTCTTATCTGACCTTGATGGCACTCAAACAAGCCTGGAACCACACAATATCAAGAAGCAAGAGAAGAAAGAACTTTTACCAAAATTTGGTGGTGAGGATGATGAGTTGCATCCACTAGTTAGCCAAGGCAAGGACATCCTCAGCCGAGAACGTTTACTCTCTGAACAACATAAAGACCCAGATACCATTCAACTTAGTAAGAGGGCACTTCCACCAGAAGAGGCTACTAAAGTTGGAGAATGCTTCTATATGAAAGATGGCATCCTTATGCGAAAATGGCGACCACCTGACGCTTCTCCAGATGAAGTGTGGCGTGTTGTTCACCAGATAGTGGTCCCAGCTGCTTATCGTCGAGATGTCATGAGTTTAGCTCACGATACACCTATGGCTGGTCATTTAGGTATCAATAAGACTTATAATAGGATTTTGAGTCATTTTTATTGGCCTAAGCTAAGAAAGGATGTTTCGAAGTTTTGCAAGTCATGCCATGTCTGTCAGATGGTAGGTAAACCAAATCAGAAGATACCATCTGCTCCTCTCCAACCCATTCCAGCTTTTGAAGAACCGTTTAGTCGAGTGTTGGTGGATTGTGTAGGACCTTTGCCTAGGACTAGATCTGGAAACCAGTATTTACTTACCATTATATGTACATCCACTCGATTTCCTGAAGCCATACCTCTAAGGAATATAAAGGCAAAGAGCATAGTTAAGGCCCTAACCAAGTTTTTCAGTTTTGTAGGAGCACCCAAGGCAATTCAGTCGGATCAAGGCTCAAATTTTATGTCGGGGTTGTTCCAGCAAGTCATGCATGAGTTGGGTATAAGGCAATATAGATCAACTGCTTATCATCCTGAGTCTCAGGGAGCGCTAGAACGTTTTCATCAAACCTTAAAAACAATGCTGAAGACCTATTGTTACCAGTATGAAAAAGACTGGGACGAAGGGGTTCATCTTGTGCTATTTGCTGCACGAGAAGCAGTCCAGGAGTCTCTTGGGTTCAGTCCTTTTGAATTGGTGTTCGGACATACAGTTAGAGGTCCTTTGAAATTGTTGAAGGAAAAGTGGCTGACTGAGACTAGTGATCTTAATCTTTTAGATTATGTGTCTGATTTCAAAGAAAAACTTTACAATGCTTGTAAATTAGCACAAGAGAATTTGAAGAATTCTCAGATGAAAATGAAAATGTGGTATGACAAAGATGCCAGAAATAGGGTGTTTAAGCCAGGTGATAAGGTTCTTGTATTTTTACCTATTCCTGGTCATCCTTTACAGGCCAGATTTTATGGCCCTTATGAAATTGAAAGCAAGATCAGTGATGTAAACTATGTAGTTAAGACACCAGGTCGACGTAAAGAGAAACGGGTTTGTCACATTAACATGTTAAAAGAGTATTTTGAAAGGTGTGACCGAAATTCTGTAAAACCAGTTTCCACTTTAGCCAATGCTAAGACTGTTCAAAATTGTATTGAAAGTGATACGAGTGTAGAAATGAATGAGAAAGATTGTAATCAGAGTGTTCGTTTGAAAAACTCAGAAATTTTGGCTGATTTTGATGCCAAACTTGGACATTTTAACATTCACCAAAAAGAACAAGTTAAAAACTTGATGAATGAGTATCATCAAATCTTTTCGGATGTTCCAAAGAAAACTAATGCAGCTTGTCATGATGTCATAGTGAGTGACGTTCTGCCTATCAAACAACATCCGTACCGTCTGAATCCAATAAAATTGCAGTACCTAAGAAGGGAAGTGCAGTACATGTTGGACAATGACATTGTTGAACCTAGTAAAAGTGATTGGAGCTCACCGTGTATTCTTGTACCAAAACAGGACGGTTCTTACCGATTATGTACAGACTTTAGAAAGGTGAATTCTGTTACCAAAACTGATTCATATCCAATACCTAGAATCGATGACTGTATTGACAACATTGGAAATGCGAAATTTGTCAGTAAATTTGACCTGTTGAAAGGCTACTGGCAAGTGCCGTTAACAGAAAGAGCAAAAGAAATATCTGCTTTTGCTACACGAGATGGACTTTACCAGTATAAAGTAATGCCTTTTGGCATGAAAAACGCACCGGCTACATTCCAAAGGATGATTCACTCCCTTCTTCAAGACCTTGAGGGATGCGAGGCCTACATTGATGATG